TAAAATAGTCAGACGTGTCACTGCAATGGGAATCGGAATTCGCAAACACATTTTAGCACATGCAAAAGACCCAATTAGAGCAGCCAGATGGCCAGTGAACCCGCTGGCATGGCCATGGATGTCTGTTCAGAACAGCAAGGTCGAGGTACTTGAACTTTGGATGGCAAAAAATATTCTCGATATTATGCAAAACTGAAAGGGGAAACCGTGTAATTGAAGCATTTCATCTTGTACACACATTGGTCTGGGCCAATCTGCCATATCTTCCTCAACCTGGAGAGAAGCATTCTACATTTCTATTGTCTCTGTGAGGTTGATGGTGGGGTCCAAGCTTGTTCCTTAAACAAATTTTGATGGTTGCATTTTCTCTAAAACTGATAAAAATGTAAGTCAGAACGTCTTCTTTTTAAAAAATCTTGGACCAAGATCTTATCTTTGACAATGGCCTGTAGTGGATGTGACGGACCAGTCCAGGGATTATCATTTCACTCTGAAACTTCCCACAGCAGTTACTTTATTTTCACCTGTTCCCCAAAAGCAAATCTTGCACTTATTTATACATCTGTTTCATTCATTTCTTCTATAACAGTGCAATGCATCTGGATATATCCCATGTGGGCAATACATGGGGGGGGGAGGACCCTCCCCCCAAAAAACCCCTAGACTGACTTTGGTTTATTTTGCTGTCTATATGGAGGAGTCGTGGATAGCTCAGTTGTGGTGGTGGTAACACCAAGGTTGCAAGTTGAATCCCCATATGAGACAGCTGCATCTTCTGGCATTTCAACTCTACAATCTATGTGTGTGTGTCCACAGTGACAGTTAATGGCAGTATATCTTGTTCTAATTCTATTTTTTTTAATTACTTTTTTATTCAAAATTAAAACAAAACATATTATCCAGAAACATATCATCGTTATTTCCCCCCTTTTTTCCTCCCTCCCTCTCCCTCCCTCCCTCCCTCCCTCCCTCACAGAACCCACCCGCCCCCACCCCCACCCCCCGACTTCCCTCAGTTCCAGTCTTTGATTTCTCTAAAAATGCTGTTTTCTGCATGTTACACTGTTGTATAGATCCTCAAACTATTTAAGTAATAATTATCAATAAAAAGTTTGTGAATGTTTATTCAAAACCAGCCAAGGAGTCCAGTTTGCTTTGTTGCGTCTTCAAATACTTTGTAAAGGGTTCCCATTCATCTTTAAAGTCACAGTTATCCTTGTCCCGTAGCTTGTATGTCAATCTTGTTCTAATTCTAGGGTTGTTGTTGTTTTTTACAAAAACTTGCCTAAGATCCAGGACAAAGCGCCACCTTTCGGAAATTTGACAATGTCCGGGAAAATCTGGTCGTATGGCAGCCCTATCCAATACCAGTACATTCAAGCAGTTACACTGCTTTGCAGCAGTTAGATTCTCTCTTCCTCCCATGATTGCTCTCTATTGGCCATGTTAAAGGTAAAGGACCCCTGACAGTTAAGTCCAGTCACAGACAACTCTGGGGTTGCAGCACTCATCTCGCTTTACAGGCCGAGGAAGCCGGTGTTTGTCTGCAGACAGTTTTTCCAGGTCATGTGGCCAGTATGACTAAGCCGCTTCAGGCGCAACGGAACACCGAAACCAGAGGAGCGCATGGAAACGCCGTTTACCTTTCAGCCACAATGGTACCTATTTATCTACTTGCACTTTGACATGCTTTCAAACTGCTAGGTTGGCAGGAGCAACGGGAACTCACCCCGTCGCAGGGATTCGAACCACCAACCTTCTGATTGGCAAGCCCAAGAGGCTCAGTGGTTTAGACCGCAGCGCCACCCGCGTCCCTCATTGGCCATGTTGGCTACTCCTGATAGACTTGCAGACTCAAGGAGACTCTGGATACACTAGCCATCCAGAGATAAGTGAATTTTTGATAGTGCAAGTGAATGGTTTCACACTGGATAGTTCTATTGATTCCCCTGCCCCCAGTAACTAATAAAATATTTCTGGTTTGTTACAATGTCTTGTGTTCCTTTTCTGTGATCTCAGTGCAATTGGTGGGGTCCAATGTAGTCATTCTGTGAGCAGAACAGGCAGTTTTGTTTGCAGGAAGAGGAAAAATCTGTTCTCAAAGGAGGGATCTTTCCATGAGCTCAGTTCTCCTTCTGTGAATTGATGTTCCTTTTTTAAATAAAAAAGTAGTTTTTATTGAGTTTTACATTTTTATCATGATAATAACATGTCATATAATAGAAAAAAGTGTCATTCCCCAAATTTCCCCCTCCCCCCGACTTCTCTCAACTCCCTCTTCTGGTTTTTAGCATATTAAAATCCCCTGCTTGCTATATTATATCTTCATATTGAGTTCTTTATATCAAATATTGCTCTTCTCATATCATTTTGACATCCTCTTCATCATTCCCGGATTTATTTTGTTAATTGTGTTTACTCAAACCCTGCTAGTGAGTCCATTTCTTTGCATTGTTTCTGTATATTCCTCATAAATCAGGGGTCAGCAACCTTTGTCAGCCGTGGGCCGGTCCACCATGCCTCAGACCATGTGGTGGGCCGGACTATATTTTGAAAAAAATAATGAACGGATTCCTATGCCCCACAAATAAGCCAGAGATGCATTTTAAATAAAAGACACATTCTACTCACGTAAAAACATGTTGATTCCCAGACTGGCCATGGGCCAGATTGAAAAGGCAATCCAGCCTCTGGGCCTTAGGTTGCCTACCCCTGTCATAAATGGTTCCCAATCTTTTTTAAAGTCTCTATTGTCTTTGTCTCTAAGTCTTTCAGTTAGTTTTGCCATTTCAGCGTATTCCATCAGTTTTTCTTGCCATTGTTCTTTAGCTGGTATTTCGTCACTTCTCCATCTTTGGGCTAGCAATATCCTAGCAGCAGTTGTAGCATACACCAATAGTTTCTTCTTCTCTTTTAGCAGATCTTGACCTGAAATGACTAATAAAAATGCTTCTGGTGAATTGGTTCTCCTTCTGTAGACAGAGCAGGTATGTTAGATTCCTACCCACTAAGCTGCATACGCATCAAGAACCAACTAACAAGTCAACACTTGACCCTGATTTCAGCAAACATGCATGTGGAAGGTAGATAAACTCATGCCAAGAAAGGACTGGTGCGGACAAAAAAAACCCCAGGTTAGGCTAGGTTTATGAATGGATGAATTGCTTCCCATGGAGTTGTAAGTCCCAAAGTGATTTACAACATATTCGGAGTACAAACATCACCTCTTCGGTCCTGCCCAAATGTCAGCACAACTTGTTTGCTGCATTATAGAATTAGCTTATCTTCATATTCTCACCTGCCCAATTAACGCCTCAGTTCCTCTCAGGTTTCACTTATTAGATTAGTTGCAGTGTGCTGATAGAAATAACATGGGGCCTTCGCTGTTGGATGAAGCTGCCAAATCAAGCATCTTGTGCTCATTTGCATGTGTGATTCTCCATCCAGTTAGGGATATGTGCCTGTAGTTGTATCAGGGCATATGGCTGAAGATTCAGCATTCAGTTCGATGTTATCCATGGTGTAGGAATGTCACTTGATAGCTGCATTTATCTGCATTAAGGAACACAGGCTCTGTTGGCAAGGTGTTCTACACTTCAGCCACAGGGAAATCCTCAGTTTTTGTGTGGTTCATTCTGTTACTTAGAGCAAACAGCACAGCCCAGGTTTGCAATTAAAGCATGTCATTTATTCAAGATAAAAAAGAAGGAAGGAAAATTCCTAAATAAATTCAGTGACGTAGCATGGAATGCCAGTGCCCAGGGCAATGTGGAAGTGGGTGGGAGGGAAACAGACAGACCACACATTCACATTCAACTGCCTAGCAGTGTCTGCATCAACCAGCAGATCGCAGCTGCAGAGATAATTTTCATTTTCTGGAGAGGTCAGCACCTGGCTCACATGGAGAAGGCATTTTTAATGGAGCCCAGCAAAAGAAGTGTACTGCTGTACTGAGGCAGCACTGGGTGTTGAAATTTTGCACCCCTAACAATTTTGTGCCTGGGACAACTGTCCCTGTGCCCTCCCCAAAAAACCCACTACGCTACTGCATAGATTGCAAAACCGCCTGCAATTTGTGGCTTTCTGGTCTGGACTTCGGAAGTTGAGCACAACCTCCCAGCCCCTTGGTATCAAGAAGTGACAATGGCCATTGTCTTCCTGCACCTTAGATGTTTTATTCAAAGCTCTATACATCACCCCAACCACCAAATTTGGCTAAGATGCCTCTCCCAACCCTTAACTGGATCACTGTGCAAACTTACCTCCTGACCCTTTGTGGATGTCCTTTGGGGCATCTGCAGAGTCCCTACTCTTGGTGAATGTGAGTTTCTCCTCTTTTCTCAGCTCTTAACATTACTACAAGTTTGTTTAGCTTTGTTCTTTTGGTCTAGCCATACGTCTGACTCCTACCCACCAAAATCCTCTTTCAGAATTTCCCTAGTTCTTGTACTTCCTTTGTTTCGCTCAAACCAGCTCAACCAGTGTGGTGTAGTGGTTAAGAGCGCTAGTCTCGTAATCTGGTGAACAGGGTTCGCGTCTCCGCTCCTCCATATGCAGCTGCTGGGTGACCTTGGGCTAGTCACACTTCTCTTAAGTCTCTCAGCCTCACTCGCCTCACAGAGTGTTTGTTGTGGGGGAGGAAGGGAAAGGAGAATGTTAGCTGCTTTGAAACTCCTTAGGGTAGTGATAAAGCGGGATATCAAGTCCAAGCTCTTCTTCTTCTTCTCTCTAGTATTGCTATTGTTTTATGCTACTAAGCCTGTATTATCTCTATACCCAGTGCTTTTCCCCCCTAGAAAAATAGGTGCCAGTACTCACCATGAGGGACGCGGGTGGCACTGTGGGTTAAACCACAGAGCCTAGGATTTGCCGATCAGAAGGTTGGCGGTTCGAATCCCTGCGATGGGGTGAGCTCCCGTTGCTCGGTCCCAGCTCCTGCCCACCTAGCAGTTTGAAAGCATGTCAAAGTGCAAGTAGATAAAGAGGTACCACTCCAGCAGGAAGGTAAACGGCGTTTCCGTGCACTGCTCTGGTTCACCAGAAGTGGCTTAGTCATGCTGGGCATATGACCCAGAAGCTGTACGCCGGCTCCCTCGGCCAATAAAGCGAGATGAGTGCCGCAACCCCAGAGTCGGCCACGACTGGACCTGATGGTCAGGGGTCCCTTTACCTTTACCTTACTCATCATGAAGTTGTTACAGTAAGTGCCATACTTTTCAACAACAACAAAAAGAGGTACCGGTACTGCGTACCCCCTGAAAAATCCCTGTCTATACCTGTATAATATGCCTGTGATATGTGCATATAAACAAGCTCCATACCTTCTTCTCAGTCCTACAGTGAATAACTCTGAACTTCTGATGTGCAATCCATAATCCAGTCAGTTCTGAAGTTCATGCCTGCAATTGGAGTTGTGCATTAATAAGGCACACAATACATTAACCCGCGTATAGAGTTATGGAAATGGTAATTCCCCTAATATCTTATGCTGCTCCCCACCTGCAAATATTCCAAGTATAAAACTTAGGCCATGTAAACCAGCCTTGTTAGCAGATCTATGGGGGCTCCTTTTAATTAAAGCTGAGCCAGATAACTAATGCCCTTTAAAAATAATTAGAATATATGCACCCAAATGGTATATTTATAGTTCATTATGCCAGATAATTTGAGTGCATATTTTTGTCCCTTTCAAAGAGATTAAATCAGTGTAAGTTGCATGATGTATTTTGCAACCTGACCACACTGCATAGCAAACACCATTCATACTGATTTGTTTACACATTTATAAACTTAAACTCCTTCTGGATATGAAAAGGAGAAGATTTACAAATGTATGTATGTAAATATAGGCATATATATTCTCCCAGTGCCTGAGTCCATCTCTGCTGAATATTAATAGGAGCTCCAGATTGGCTTGGGAAGAGGATATTTCTAGTAAATATGAACATGCTCCACCCACCCGCCCCTTAAAAGTAGGGAACAATTATTTGGTTAGCCAACCTTCGCTGTACTTGCCTTTTCATTGTGATGACATATGTATGTTTTTTACTGGCCTCAAAAATTGTTGTCGTCCCCCCACCCTCTGATCCTACTTGTAACAGAGATTATTTCTTTTTTAGAAATCTTCCTGTGAGCCAAAAGATTTGTCACTGACTCTGGTGTCTCACATAATCAAATCACCATTCTTGGTAGGAGGCAAAGTTCTTTCTTTAGTGATGTTTTTGCCTTGTTCACAAGCTCTGTCCTGGAGGCAACCTGTCTGGTTTGATCTTTCTGTACGAAGATGCAAGGAGAAGAAGAAGAAGAAGAAGAAGAAGAAGAAGAAGAAGAAGAAGAAAGGAGAAAAAGGACTTTCCTTTTGACTGTTTTCATATTTAAACCGAAAGTTTGAAGCAAGAGGAAAGAGTACAAATATTTTTAATATCTTGCGTGAGACTAAGATGAGGAGGTCCACTTCTGTTGCTTGTGGAAGGAACAGCCATTGCTTGCTGACAGAGCATTTGCTTAGCAAGCAGAAAGTCCCAGTTTCAACTCCAAATCTCTCTAGGTAGGCCTAAGAAATCCTGGACAGCCACTGCCAAGTCAGTGTGGGCAATACCAATGATCTGACTTTGTATGAGGTCCCTGTGAAGGAGCTCTTGGGATCTTCAGCTCTGTCAAGATGTTTTGCACTTCCACTTATATGTGTATGTGCAGGTTGTATGGACTACATCTCCCATCATTCTTGACCACTTGTGCTGCTAGCTAGTAGTGGTGGGAATTGTAGTCTAACAACATCTGGAGACCCAAGGTTGAGAAGTGATGACCTAATGGGTAACATAAAATGTTGAGAGTATCCCCAGTCCATGAATTAGAGCAGACTTTCCCAAACTTGGGTCCCCAGCTGCTTTTGGACTACAGTTCCCATCATCCCTGACCACTGGTCTTGCTAGCGAGGGGTGATGGGAGTCATAGTCCAAAAACAGCTGGAGACCCAAGTTTAGGAAACAATGAACATGCAGGTTAGGAGAGCAAAGCTAACTCTCATATCTTCTTAGCCGAATTACTGAAATACCCTTCTCCCAATCCAAGACAAAGCTCCGCCTTTCGGAAATCCCCCCCGCATGTCAATTCCACCTTTGAAATCCCAGTAATGTCCGGGAATATCCAGACATATGGCAGCCCTAAAAATTGCCCATTCAGCATATTGAGACTACCGTATTGGCCTGAATATAAGCCACCCCTAAAAATAAGCTGCACCTTGGGAGCACCGGGTGGGCTACGCACCGTTGCCCTGTGCTCCTGGGCTGCTCTGGGGGGGGGGAAGCTACACTGCTTTGCTGGCAGCTTTCCCCTTCTTTCTGATGGCTTAGGGGAGGCTTGGGAGCAGCAGGCGGGCTGCGTGCAATTGCCCTGCGCTCCAGGACTGCTTTCAGGGGAGGGGGAAGCCACGCCGCTTTGCTGGCAGCATAATGTTGCAAATATAAGCCGTACTTTAACTTTTCACGGTTGGAATTTGGGGGAAAGTGCGGCTTATATTTGGGCCAATACAGGAATAAGGTCTATTCCTTATTCAGGAATAAGAGCTATTCCGCCTGGCTTTCAATTTGAACTTAGCCTGATCTTTTATTCCCCTCTCTTCCCTCCCCCTCCCCTTTCTATGAAGATTACCTGCTCTGGGATCCCACAGCTAATTCTCCCCTGATCTCCTCGCTGGCCAAATAGGACTAATTTAGCCAGCTAGCCCTGGTGATCATCTAATGTTTATTGAATGGTTCCCCCCCCAATTGATTTTTGAATTCTGAATTTATTGTTATTCACATTTTATACCGTATTTTATGCTGTTTATTTTTTTGTTGTTGTTGCATCAATTAAGTGTTTTAAATTTGTTGTTAGCCACCCTGCGCCCGGTTTTCTGATCCGGGAAGGGTGGGGTATAAATAATAAAAAATTATTATTATTATTATTATTATTATTATTATTATTATTATTTCTTCGTTGCTTTTTATAGAATGTGTCAGAGTGGCTTACAAAATATTAAAAGGCAAAACAACCCATCAAACATTTAAAATCTATGACACACAGTAAAATGAAGGGTCATTAAAGATATTTATCCTTCAACAAGAACACACAAAAATAAGACAGTTCTGGACAGTGGCATCTTGTCCTACTTGAGTTTGGTAACGATAGGATATCAGAGCGATTCAGAAGCACAGGGTCGTAAGGCCAAGCACAGCGAGACAGCCTATGATGAGATGTCATCCAACAGGAGGATCCTGAGGCAAAGCCAAGATCACGCAGCAAAACAGGTTTTCAAGAGCAACGTATTAGCAGGGGTCCAGGGGTCAGTAGCACAGGGTCAGTCAGGATAGATGGTAGTAACAAAAGGCTGAATCTACAGAACCAAGGGCCGGTGTTCTTCCTGCAACATACAGGGAGAAACTTGAAGCTTACAGAACAAGACTCAGCTGTGACTAGTTAGCCCCAGCCTTTAAGGTTCACTGTTTCTGAAGAGGCTTCATACACCTGAAGAGCCTGGTTCTTCTGGGCCTTGAGACTTGTGTCCTGCCTCCTTGATTCTGGCATTCTCTGGGCCCAGGAGGTAACTCAACCTTCCCCCCCCCAGGTGAAGGATGTGCTGCAGGTGAATAAGGAAGCTCATTCTGAGGTCCTCCTGGGTCCTCTGCTGCACATGGGATTGGCATCGCTTCTCAAGAGATTAAAAAAATTCCTTCCAGTAGCTCAGCGGTTCTCAACTGGTGGGTCCCCAGATGTTGTTGGACTACAATTCCCATCATTCCTGAGCTCTGGCCTTGCTAGCTAGGGATGATGGGAGTTGTAGTCCAACAACATCTGGGGACCCACAGGTTGAGAACCGCTGCAGTAGCACTTTAGAGACCAACTAAGTTTGTTATTGGCATGAGCTTTCATGTGCATGCACACTTCTTCAGATACACTGAAACAGTGTATCAGACAATCACCCATTCCCACCACCCTTCTGAGTAATACCCCTCCCCGCCCTCTCACTATATATAAGGGTCTGGTGACTTCTGTTTCAGTGTATCTGAAGAAGTGTGCATGCACACGAAAGCTCATACCAATAACTAACTTAGTTGGTCTCTAAGGTGCTACTGGAAGGAAATTTTTTATTTTGTTTTGACTACGGCACACCAACACGGCTACCTACCTGTAACTAGAACTTCTCAAGAGATTGTTAGCCACTTTGAGACTCCTTAGGGTAGTGATAAAGGGGTGCGGATGGCACTGTGGGTTAAACCACAGAGCCTAGAGCTTGCTGATCAGAAGGTTGGCAGTTCGAATCCCCATGACGGGGTGAGCTCCCGTTGCTTGGTCCCTGCTCCTGCCGACCTAGCAGTTCGAAAGCACGTCAAAATGCAAGTAGATAAATAGGTACCGCTCCAGTGGGAAGGTAAACGGTATTTCCATGCGCTGCTCTGGTTCACCAGAAGTGGCTTAGTCATGCTGGCCACATGACCGAGAAGCTGTACATTGGCTCCCTCGGCCAATAAAGCGAGATGAGCACCGAAAGCCCAGAGTCGTCTGTGACTGGACCTAATGGTCAGGGGTCCCTTTACCTTTACCTTTAGGGCAGTGATAAAGCAGGATATCAAATCCAAACTCTTCTTCTTCTTCTTCTTCTTCTTCTTCTTCAAGAAATGCTGGAAGTGTCTGGAGTAACACCGGAGTCAGCCCCAAATCTTCAGACTTATCTCTTTGTTTCACGACAATTATGCATGGCTAGATTTTAACAAGCCAACCAACCTCAAAGTAGTTTGTTGTCCTTTCATTCCCCAGCCACTATTCCTGCCTGTTTCTCGATTTGCCTTTCCTTCTCTTTCTTTGCCCTTGTTGCCCTTGGTTGATTTGTCCATTCTGCTGCTGAATCCGCTTCACTACAGCGACATGTGCCATTTGTTTTACAGCAGAGTTGGGGAACCATTTTGGTCTAGCAAGCTGGATCAAAACGTGGCCAACACTCTACAGGCAACATCTGACAGATGGGCAGGGGCTCCCCACCTGTCAATCACCTGACATGATGTCAGGTGAAGCCAATCCTTTCCCAAACAGAGCTTGTATTCTGTGCCAAATGTAAACAGCACTGGGTGCAAACCAGGGTTGCAAAGGAACAACCAAGAGTGCGCGGCTTAAAGTATGCTTCCAGTTGTTATTTTGTGCCTCTCAGCATTTCAGTTGTCCCTTCTTATGATGTCGGGTGAGTGACAGGTGGGTGGGGCCAGCTGGAAACAGCCTGGTGGGCGTCATTCGGCCCACTGGCTGAAGGTTCCCCATTGCTGTTTTATGGGTATCGATGATATCATCACTTCAAATGTAGCATTGTGAAGTCATTGAGAAAACTGGGCAGGCCCACTCATAATGTTGAAAGGAAACCACTGAATATGCAGCTAGCTTTGAAAGACTCATTTTACCATGAAAATGATTCAAAGAGTTTCAGTTCAGCCCTAGTTTCAGGTATAGCATGGCTCCCACAGTCTCCTCCATTGTGAATGGGAAAGCACCAATGCTTTAGGAAACACATCAGGGCTCCTTTGCACCTAAGGCATGCCTGAAAAGATGTCCTGGCAAGGAAGACTCTCTGCTGGTCATCCTGGTTCTCTATTGTATGTGTTAAAAAGACGAGAAACTCTGTGATCACTCCTCACACTATATATTGTTATTTCCCTCCATGTCAATAATTTGTAGCTCCTATAAATGAAGCTTTTTGGAAATCAAGTTAGCCATGTTTATCATACAGATACACTTAATGGATGTGATTTACTTTCCCTTTATGGCTTCAACCTTGGAGTAACAAAATCCGAGTCAATTGGGTTGCACTATACATTCTGATTCCCCTCATTTATTCAGCGTTGATTGTGTGAAATTTCAGCATATGGGATTGGGAATGAGTCATGATTGGACTCATCAGTGTAGTTCCTAGGCTTTCTGTGGATAATATTATTTATGCAGGGTGATGCTATAAATGCAACATGGCTTTTCAATCAAAAGAACTCATTTTGAATACAAAGAGAACTCTCAGAAACAACTGCATCACAGTGTAGCTGCTTATAAGTGCTCTCTAAGAAAAGGGGAGATCTTTTCTAATACAATGAGGGCAGGCCCACATGAAATACACACACCTTATGCCACAAGGTGCCATAGGAAGGCACTGGACATAGTAAAAGACCCATCGCATCCTGGTCACTGTCTCTTCGAGCTCTTGCCGTCGGGACGGAGATACAGGACGATGAAGACAAGAACTAGCCGTCTTAAGAACAGCTTCTTCTCCAGAGCGATCTCGGCCCTGAATGGGAAGCCCGGACTTTGAAAGTCATCTAATCTCCCTTGCTGTATTATACTGTATTGATTAATTAGTGTTTTTATGGAGCAGTCAAGTAATTTCGTTGTCCCCGAAGGGTGCAATGACAATAAAGATATTATTATTATTATTATTATTATTATTATTATTATTATTATTATATGACAATCTCAGTGGGGTTTATTTGCCAAATAATCTCAGTGTGGTTTACTTGACAATCCATAGTTTCGGGAGCAGGGAGTTTTGGCAGGTGATAACTGTCTCTAATAATTTGCATAACAATCTTATTAGATGATCTCATTCCACACTTCCATTGGTGTCCCCCACACCAGAGTTCTCTCCTATTTTATGTGCTCATTGATCTGCCCTTGCCAGATCCTACGCTCATTGGATCCTGAATATTTCAGCCCCCAAACCTTTCGTGAATTATTGGATGCATGAGAACGAATGATAAAAATCAGAGAGCTTCTGATCATATACAGAGAGATTCTATTACAGTACAATACTTGGGAACCAGAGACAGCAGCTATGATCTCAGGGCTTGCAAGTACAATGAAGGCTTCTTTCCACACCTCCCTTTTTAGGAATTCACCAACTCATGCAAAATCTTAAAAAAATTACGTACATATTTGCAGTGCATTTGAATGGAATTCTAATAAGCCAGGGACTGCGGCTCAGTGGTAGAGCATATTATTTGCATGCAGAAGGTCCCAGGATTAATCTCAGGAATCTATATGTAGGACTGGGAGAAACCCTAGAAACCTGCTGTCAATCAATTTAGACAATAGTGAGCTAGATGGACAAATGGTCTGTCTCAGTACAGCTTTTATGTACTCCAATGAAATGTGATCAAAGATTCAAATAAAGAATGATCCATGGTTGGCATTCATGGTTCATATGTAGGGCCAAGCTACACAAAGCGTGGGAGATGTGTGCTGGATTGGCCCACAGTTATATTAATTACAAATAATCACGAAACTGGAGTGAGAGGCTGGTGTTTAACCTTTCCCCCATTGTGTGATATTTTCTTGATTTACATTGTTCCTGCAGCAGCTAGCAGGGGGGGACTTTGGCCTTTCAAATTTCAGTGGCGCCCTGTGTGAGACCAACACTCATCCCCTGGCCTATCGCTTTCTGTTCTGCTCAATTCACTATGACATACGTAGTCGCAATGCTCTATGAGACCCCATAGGCCCATCACCCAGTGCAGCAGAACCAGTCGTGCTGTTGTAAATCTGCCTCTGCAGCTAGTAATAGGCAACATACACGTGTGTATTTTTAGGGTGTGAGGCTATATTTGGCTAGGACAGGGCAATTTTGAGTGGAAATAAAAGTAAGCATTGACAGGCAACATAAAAAGGTAAAGGGACCCCTGACCATTAGGTCCAGTCGTGGATGACTCTGGAGTTGCAGTGCTCATCTCGCTTTATTGGCCGAGGGAGCCGGTGTACAGCTTCCGGGTCATGTGGCCAGCATGACTAAGCCACTTCTGGCGAACTAGAGCAGCGCATGGAAACACCGTTTACCTTCCGGCCGGAGCGGTACCCATTTATCTACTTGCACTTTGACGTACTTTTGAACTACTAGGTTGGCTGGAACAGGGACTGAGCAACGGGAGCTCACCCCATCATGGGGATTCAAACTGCCAACCTTCTGATCGGCAAGCCCTAGGCTCTGTGGTTTAACCCACACAACATACATGTGTTTATTTTTAGGCTGTGAGGCTATGAGTGGCTTGGACGGGACAATTTTGAGTGGAAATAAAAGTAAGCATTGATGAGTGGAGTTTGGGAGGTGGGTGGACAGCTTTACAGCTTCAGATGTCCTCTCCTCTGTTAACAACAACAATAATAATAATTCCATCCATCTGACTGGGTTGCCCTAGTCACTCTAGACAGCTTCCAACAAATGAAGCATATTGAGCACAGTAAACCATCAAACATTAAAAACTTCCCTATACAGGGCTGCTTTCATATGTCTTCTAAAAGTCAGATAGTTGTATATTTCCTTGACATTTGATGGGAGGGCATTCCATAGGGCAGGCACAACTACCAAGAAGGCCCTCTGTTTGGTTCCCTGTAACCTCACTTCTCTCAGTGAGGGAACTGCCAGAAGGCCCTCAGTGCTGGATCTCAGTGTCTGGGCTGGATGATAGGGGTGGAAACAGTCTTTCTGTTTCTGAGCTTCATGAATGACTGCTGTTCTTTATGTAGCCAAAGTAGCACTATGTCAGCAGACTCAGTGAAACACCAAGGTTTCCCCTCCAAATTATTTCAGGGGGAAAGGCTCTCTGTGGCCATGGCATGCTGGCAGATGGGAGAGGGCTGAAAAACTGGGTAGGACTGAAATAGCATATTGTGGAGGGTAGCATGGTCATCTAGAACAGTGAACAAGAGCACCCCACTTGGCCACATTTTGTTGCAGGTCCACGTACACAGATGAAACCATCTTCATGTGTTGAACAGTGACCTCTGTTATTAATTCTCCAACAGAAAACCCTGTCATCAGCATCAGCTCAATAAACAAACAAGACGTAACCGGCTGTGTTCTTAGATAAATAAGGTATACTATTCATAGTATCAAATCATAAATCTCAAGAGAAGTAACTCAAAGTTCAACCTTTCATATGGATTGTTTGGACCTTATGAACAGACAGGTGGAATGGACACTATTACACGGATGGACCTTATGCATGAACTGACTAGAGAATGATCTGATCCACTGGGTCTTCTGCTTTGTTCGTTTGTTGAACTTTGAGTTACTTCTGTTGAGATTTATGATTTGATACTATGAATAGTACACCTTATTTATCTAAGAACACAGCCGGTTACGTCTTGTGTGTTTATTGAGTATGCTTTATGTGACCATAGGTTTGTTTGTTGTTGTTTTATCAGCATCAGCTCAGCATCAACATCTGTAATAAGGACTGTAATTGATTATATGATTCAATTGCACATATATCCTATTCCATCAAAATTACAACTGTGGTGTTTTGTTTCAATGCACACGAATAAATGTGCAAATCGGTAAAACACCACACAAAATGAATGCTTCTGCGATCATAAGGAACAGAGTGAGGGAGATCTGCTCAATCCCAGTTGAACACAAAGCTGGTGTTTTAAAGGTTTACGTAGACATGAGTGAGAAACCTCCTTTTTATATATAGGTGAAAAATCAATGTTATTTGTATTCTTGTGCACATAGGTGAAATTTGAGGAATTGCCAATCTGTAGTCTTATGCCTACATGAAGGTTTAGTCTGATTACCAGTAAGAAATGAAAAACCTCACAGAAAAAGGGACTCCAGGCAATCTAGAAAAATGAGACAGACATCTATTCAGAGTTTTCTATGATGGAGCATATCCATTTGATACATTAACTAATTAAAAAGATAAACGACTATTACTTACCATTGCAAATGGCATTTACCAGCCCTGCAGGATTGGAAGAGTTTCAGCCTTATGTTTGAATCCATGAACACACTTAATCTGTAGCGCCCACATTTATTTTGAAAGTGCTACTCAGTATAGTCCATAGATTACTGTCAGACCGAGATCATGCAACCAGTTCAGAATAGTTAAGCCAAAGTAGTTCATTATAAGCCAGCTAATGACATCCTAGAGGGACGCGGGTGGCACTGTGGGTTAAACCACAGAGCCTAGGACTTGCCGATCAGAAGGTTGGCGGTTCGAATCCCCACCATGGGGTGAGCTCCCATTGCTCGGTCCCTGCTCCTGCCAACCTAGCAGTTCAAAAGCACATCAAAGTGCAAGTAGATAAATAGGTACCGCTCCGGCGGGAAGGTAAACGGCGTTTCCGATTGCTGCTCTGGTTCGCCAAAAGCGGCTAAGTCATGCTGGCCACATGACCCAGAAGCTGTACGCCGGCTCCCTCGGCCAGTAAAGCAAGATGAGCGCCGCAACCCAGAGTCGGTCACGACTGGACCTAATGGTCAGGGGTCCCTTTACCTTTAAAGACATCCTAACTACGTTTTACAAATGGCGTTGTAAATGTCCATGCCAGCAGCAACAGCCCTGAGGGAGTTTTGCCTCTGGAATGTAACCGTACCACATTATAAAATAAAACCCTTCTGGAACAGTGATTGCCAGGGCTGTCTTAAGCATATGCCCAGTCCCAGATACGCAGGAGGGCGTAGCCGGGCAGCAGCCTCAGCATCTTGCTGGCTCGGTCGCCCCTGAACTCACGGCGCAGAAGAGCCCGCAGCAGAAGAGCCTGCCGTGGTGCTTCGTCCGACGGGCGGGCAGTTCCACGGACTCAACTCTCGCACCCCCGATTTCCTGCCTGGCACCCCTGAGAGCCCGGTGCCTGGGTGCCCCGCACCCATAGCGCCTATGGGTAAGACAGCCCTGGTGATTGCATTACTTATGGCTGCTACATGTGGGCAGGAACTTTTGGTCTGAAGGGATTGAGTCTGCTAGAAAGTTCCCCATAGGGAATTCTTTTGCACACCTGATGCCTGTCAAAAGCAGGTTTTGGTTCTACCATGCATCAGATTTCTCTCTGGTTTGCAGTATTGTTTATTGAAACAAGCCAAGATCGGAAACCATAAGTTTGATTTTGGGCTTGTTTCAATAGGTGAGAGTTCAAACAAGCCATGGTTTGACCTGGCTCAGATCAAACTACAAACTGTGGCTAATTTAAAACAGGAAACATTATTCTAATGTCCTTACAGTTCAGTGAAGGAAGCAAGCAAGGGAAGAGGAGAATCTTTTACCAGATACTTGAGTAGGCTTGTTCCATAGCAGTAAACTATGGTCCAGAAAAAATCTTAGGAGCTGGCTAGGATGCTGCACGGACTAGATTTTCTTTTGGTGGTTTTCTTTACAAAAGTAGGCTGCAGCCTTTAACCCTATTCGTGTCTCCTCATCTTTCTTCCTGTAATCTGCAATAAACTGCTGAAGTTGAGTTTGCCAGAAGTGAGTCATGACTATATGATCAAGGGCAGACAAATGACACAGAACTGATTTGTTTGAAGAAAAGGTGATGACAATCGCTGCACATCGCAAAGGTGTGATGGGGTTATATCTATGGCCCCAAACCACTTTCTCAACAGAACTGTGCTGTTTTCCTTGCAATCCACAGAAAGACAAATGCAGATCAGGTTTCTACAATAATGCAGCCAAATAAAAGCACTGTAAGGAAACTTCTATTTGTAGACCATGTAAGAAAACTGAAAAGCAGGTTTTCATTCTTGAAGCTAATGACTATCACCCACTCACTTGCGCTAAGAATAATCCCTTAATGGCATCAAGCTGAACGCAGACTGTACTTTCACAGAGTCTTTGCCATTGTATTCTGAAAGCACTGGGCAAAATAGAAGGTGGACAATGAGCAGGTGACAGCACTATCTATACAAAACCTGAAAGTGATTGCTTGTGCCATCTTGCCACCCGAGTGTGATTTAGATGAATGTACAGTGAACCCTACATGCTATATTTGTTAAACTATGATCTCAAAACCTTTTGACCCCAGAAAAATCCTTGTTAATACATGTAAGACCCTCTGGTGTTAAATCAACACTGAATGTCAATTGTTTGTTTTGTTTGAGCTCCTTTTACAAAACGCTGCAGAGCTAAGGGATCGCTTCACATGCTACAGTGGTGCCCCGCAAGATGAATGCCTTGCAAGACGGAAAACCCGCTAGACAAAAGGGTTTTCCGTTTTTGAGTTGCTTCGCAGGACAAATTTCCCTATGGGCTTGCTTCGCAAGACGAAAATGTCTTGCGAGTCTTGAGATTTTTTTCCCGCTTTCCCCCCCTTTATCTAAGCCGCTAAGCCTTTAATAGCCTTTTAGCAGCTAATCCGATAAGCCGATAAGCCTTTAATAGCCGCTAAACCGCTAATAGCGCTAATCCGTTAAGCCGCTAAAAGGGTTGCTTCGCAAGACGAAAAAACCGCTAGATGAAGACTCTCGCGGAACGGATTAATTTCGTCTTGCGAGGCACCACTGTACTTCAATTGTTTCAAATGCAATAACCAGAGTGGTTTAGCAGTCAAACGCTGCTGCGTGCCAAGGCCCCGTGCCTCGCCATTCCCTATTGATTAATAAACACACAGACACAAGTATTTAGGTTTATGGGATAAAACAGGCCACAACTTTATTGATTACAGATGGGAACAATTTGGCTTAGGCATTGGGTGAAGCCAGGCTATATCTTGACCCTCGCCCACCTGCAGGGAGTTGAACTAAGGATAAACCACCAATAGGGAGAGCCCTATGACTTACAGTGATCCATACGATGGTCACCTCCAGGCTTGACTACTGTAATTCGCTCTACGCGGGGCTGCCCTTGAAGCTGTCCCAGAAACTCCAGCGGGTGCAGAATGCAGCAGTGAGGCTCCTCACGGGGTCTCTGCCATGGGAGCATATTCACCCAGTGCTTTTCCAGCTGCACTGGCTCCCAGTGGAGTACAGGGTCAGATTTAAGGTGCTGGTTTTGACCTTTAAAGCCCTTCACGGCCTAGGACCCTCGTACCTACGGGAACGCCTCTCATGGTATGCCCCACAGAGAGCCTCAAAGTCCATAAATAGCAACACCCTAGTGGTCTCGGGCCCTAAGGAAGTTCGATTGGCTTCAACCAGAGCCAGGGCCTTTTCAACTCTGGCTCCAGCCTGGTGGACCGCTCTGCCTCATGAGATCAGGGCCCTGCAGGATCTGATTTCTTTCCGCAGGGCCTGTAGGACAGAGTTGTTCTGCCTGGCCTTTGGCTTGGAGCCAATTTGATTCCCTCCCCCTCTTTCTTTTTCCTTTCTCCTCCTGTGATGAGGCTGCATTTTAATATTTTAATGTTTCAGTATTTTAATTGTTGTATTTTAATCTTGTTTTTAAGTTGTATTCATTCAACTTGTTTTTATTATTGCTTGTTAGCCACCCTGAGCCAGGCCTTGACTGGGGAGGGCGGGGTATAAATAAAAATTATTATTATTATTATTATTATTATTATTATTATTATTACATCAAATAGGGGCACCCCGAGGGATCCCTGTTGGGGTTGTGTAATGGCCCTAATTCATGTCTAGGCTTTGGACAGGATCCACACCCCAGGACCCCTTTAACAGGATTTTCTTCTTCTTCTTTGGCAATCACTCATAGCCGAGTAAGATTGTCTTCTATAAACACGGCTTTAACAATGAGTCCGTAAGTGACTGTGGAGGCCAATTCTGGAGCCACACGTCTTTCCACAGTGGGGACATTAGTTTCCGGGTGGGAGTTGATCACGGTGTGGATTTGCCAAGGGTGCCTTCCTCTTAGCATGTTTCTCCCTTGCATCCTGAATTCAAATGTCTTCAAAGCCCATGGCACCTGTGGTAAAGGCTGTTCTCCAACAGGAGCTCTCACAGGCCAGTGTTTCCCAGTTGTCAGTGTTTATACTACATTTTTAAAGATTTGCCTTGAGACGGTCTTTAAACCTCTTTTGTTGACCACCAGCATTATACCCTTATAGAGGAGTGGCAGGCGGAGGCTACAACCTTCCCTCCATTAAACAAAGGCTTACCCAATGCCTAATGGCCCCTCAAGCCCAAATGGCTCACCGCCAATACCCTCACACCTGCAGCCAAGCTCTGACACCCTCTGCACTGCCATTCAGCCAGAGAACTTTCCAAAGAACTTGGGAAATCGAAGCTCCGTGGGAGGACTAGGGGTTACCAAAGAACTCTCATCACCCTTAAAAGACTGCAGTTCCCAGGATTCACTGGGGGAAGCCATGGCTGTTTAAAGTGGTATTATACGACTTTAAACATCCAGTGCAGATGCAGCCTCATTTAACTATGTTTCTTGAGGGTTGTGGCCATTTAAAATATTTCTCAAAAAATGTGGCTATAGTAAAATGTTTAGTATCAGCCATGGATTTATATTATTTATTGTAATTCTCTTGGAAAATGTGTGCCCCTCTTTACTTCTATTGCAGTCTCAGTGCTCAGGACAACATAGAACACTGAAAAACCATCCACATAAGACACCACGATTAATAATACCGCACAACCTAAAAGAAGAGAGACAGGTAAAGAAGATAAAAACCTAACAAGAACGAGGAGATCAGCCTATTAAAACTACTGAACCCAACAGGCCGATACAAAATGCTATGAGATGGCATGATATCTGTCACTGGATCCACCAGTAGCTTATGGAAGAGTCAATTGTTTCTGTTTCACAATAAAAATAAATAAATGAAACTCAACGGGATCTGGCCCCTCATGTGACAAAGTAACTCTGTATGGAGACAATCATTATTTGTGTTTCATGAGGATGACTCATGGCAAGAAAAGTTAAGCTGCAAACAGGTCAGTCATTACCTTTTAAGTAAATACCACTGAAATCAAGAGGACTTTTATCCCAATAAATGGATTTAGCACTGAGGTTCCGGTCCCTAAATGGGGCATCTGTCAGTGCAGACTTTTATTTCACCTTCAAATTGACTTTAAAGTGAGGATTTCTGACCAAAAGAGAGGTTTAAGTGTTAAGTAGTTTTAAGTAACTACACAAGCAGATTATGCTGCACTTTGCCATTTCTTTTAGTGTGTTTTTCCCCCTTTCCTTTTATTGAGCCAAGCTGCATTTGATAGTGATTTTTACTCAGAGTCTCCCAAAAACCTCACTCAAACCAATAATCATGTGTTGATAGGTGAAATTAGTTTCAGAATTCTAATGAAGCTCAGCATCTGGGAGACAGACAGCTCATCTGAAGATTAAATGAGAAAAATTGCCACTTTTGCTGGTTCCTTTAGAAACTCATTTACATTCTGTCAGCTTCCATTAGGAATGGGAACTGCAGATATCGAAGGAAATATGCATGAATTCAGCAGTCATCCGGCCAATCGGAGTCAGTTCCTCCTTGCTTACAAAGCTGCCGGGAGACATAATGTACTTACTCCTTCTGGAAATAGTAGGTGATAACACCTTCATCTGAAATGGTCAGGAAACATTTTGAATTTCACACCTGACAAAGGATGACTGAAAGGTAAATCTGGCATTCTTTCATGTCTGGGTAAGTCTTTGACATATTTGGGATAGCATGTGAAGGTACAGGAGTGATCTTTTCATCCACTTAGGTTTAGAAGTCTGTCCTCACCATAAGAGACACAAAGAATATGTACTTGTACCGGCAGCTGTTTGAACGTGGCATTGCAATGTGGAAAATGCCTGCTTTGAATTCAATAGAGAGCCCTAGAAAAATGTTACTTAGCCCTCTTCAGACATTCTTGTTCTGCTCTGTGTTGGGTTAATGTCTGAGGGGAGAACATTTGGATGTGCACTGGCTCCATCTCTGGTCACCATTCTGGTCTCCTTGCACAAGTTGGAAGGGGACTTCTGATTCATGGAGCATCCTGCATTTGTATAGTCTTCTGTGCATTTTAGAACTTCGTATCTTAAACCCCATTCACTCCGAGTACAGGAGTCTTCCTGATTGAGATGTTCACTCTCCAACTTGTCAGAATGTCAAAAGTGCAGGTGGAGGTAACGTCTTTGTTAGGGTTGTCATATTTCAAGAGGTAAAAATCTGGAGACAAAAACTTGTTGAGCTTCTTTAGTGCAATTGTCTTCCATAAATATGGTTTTAACAATGGGTCCGTAAGTGACTGTGGAGGCCAATTCTGTATCCACATGTCCTTCCACAGTGGGGACATAGGTTTCTGGGAAGGCACTTTTTCTAGCCCTTTCCCCTTTTCGGGGTGAGCAGAGTGGATCCTAAATAGGGCTGCCCAGTCATGGATAGAGCTGCCAAGCTGCTCAACTACCTCATTCCTTAAGCATCTGCATGTCCTTCCACAGGTTTCCGGGCGGGAGTTGATCATGGTGTGGATTTGCCAAGCGTGCCTTCTTCTTAGCACCTTTCTCCCTTTTGTCCTGAATTTGAGCGTCTTCAAAGCCCATGACACCTTTGGTAAAGGCTGTTCTCCAACTGGAGCGCTCGCGGGCCAGTGTTTCCAAGTTGTTGGTGTTTATGCTACATTTTTGTAGATTTGCCTTGAGAGAGTCTTTAAGCCTCTTTTGTTGCATTACGCTTACCATTTTAAAGTTCGGAATAGAGTAGTTGCTATAGTCTCTCTGTTGCTCCTGAGCCTGAGCCACCCATGCCAGAGCCCGGGTTGCCCACACCAGTACACAGGCTGTTCATGCCAGAGCCAAAACTTAGGGTTGCCCATGCCAGAGCCCTTGCCAGAGCCTAGGCCACCCATGCCAGAGCCAGAGCCAGAGCCTGGACCGCCTACACCAGAGGCTGACACAGAGCTGCCTGTGCACACATTTTTAAAAAAGAAAACCCAAAATCCACATTTCCTTTAAATGTAAAATTCCCCCCAGATAGGCATGTAGGACCCCCAAAAGAGGACATGTCTGGGAATTCCTGAACGTATGGCAACATGCATTTACTGAACCCAGACCAAGAATGCCTGAACAGAGTACATGCCATTCTAATGATCTGGTGATTCAATGATTAGTCTGCAACTCAATAAATGGAAAATGAGCATGAGGAGGAAAAAATGACATTCTGGGAACACTTTCCTTTTCATGCGAACAGCTTAAGAATGTACAGTCACTGGTCGCTGACAAGCATTTTGGCTTTAGTTCAAACATGATACAATGCAGCACTGTGGAGGGAATCAGAATGACTCTCTGCAGACTGCAAACCCACTGACAATGGCTGGATAATTCATGGAAGAAATTGGGAGTGAGCAAAATGGATGAAAATAGGCAATGGAGGAGTTTGGGCTCTCGTATTTCAGTGGTGCCCTGTGTGATGCTAAAATCCTGTGCCCCCACCTCTCATGCTCCATTCTACAGCAGTGTTGTGGTGCCTACAGTGTGGCCAAACCAGTCACACTACTCTAAAACAGCCTTTGAAACAGGTGGTCCCTCAGATCTTCTTAGTGTTATCCATTGGCCTAGTCCCAATGGGTCATTTGCACAATGTAAATGTGTTTCTGCAATATGGTAGAAAATTCTGTAGGGGACTTGTGCACAAAGATTAACGAATTAGTGAAAATAACATACAAAATGCATTATATTAGGAGAAATAGCTTGCAAAAATATCTACATCCTTCAAAAACTGCTTAAAAATGAGTTTATTAGGAGAAATTCTCATTAAAATGCTGAAGAATTTTCATGAGCTTTTTAAAATAAAAAAATATAAAAAATTGGTGTAGAAACGTGCAAAATTGAATTTAAGATTAGAAGACTGAGAAACAGAGAAAACCAAAATGGACAGATTTGTCCATTCTTATTCACAGTCCTATTGAGATCAGGCTTATATAAGCATATCAGGCTTTCTTTTGCTTTTGAAACTTGCAAGGCATTTATATTGATTAACATAACTGATTTGCATTGATGGCACCTTTTATGCTTCTTTGACATGCAAACATGATGAAGCTTTCTTCATAAATTTCCACATAGGTCACTGACCTATATAAGAACTCGGTACTGTAAGCACTTTTAAACTCTACAGAGTGCATTTCATATTAGGAAGATTATCTTTGCACAGCAAACTATCACTTAATGAACAGTTGAGTGAAGGAAATGTATGTTGAAAAATGAATAAAGATTTCAGAAGGCAATTAAGCTGAGCATTATGTTTGTATCCCCCCTTTATATTTGCATTACAAAAGAAGTTCCTACAACTGGGGAAATGCTATAAAGACAGATGTGTGATTACTGTAGAACTCAACAGACTTTGTCACTGAAGTTTTATATTTAAAAAAAAATCAACTGTTCCTACCACAGTGATCAATAATTTGTTTAGGATGTAGTCAGGATGCTTCAGCACATTATGACAAATAAATATTTATAAATATATTACCTATCTATACAAAAGAGGATGACAAGAATGGGGAGACATATTGGTGATTTGGGCTCCACACTTCTGAGACCAAAATAAGAACATAAAAACAAAAGAAGAGCCTGCTACATCAGGTCAATGGTCAATATTGAGAGCCAGTGTGGTGTAGTGGTTAAGAGTGGTAGTCTCGTAATCTGGGGAACCGGGTTCGCGTCTCCACTCCTCCACATGCAGCTGCTGGGTGACCTTGGGCCAGTCACACTTCTCTGAAGTCTCTCAGCCCCACTCACCTCACAGAGTGTTTGTTTTTGGGGGAGGAAGGGAAAGGAGAATGTTAGCCGCTTTGAGACTCCTTCGGGTAGTGATAAAGCGGGATATCAAATCCAAACTCTTCTTCTCTTCTTATTGTCCAACATCCTGTTTTGACAGTGGTCACCAAGATGCCTGTGAGAAACCCACAAAGATATAACAGGATCTTTGCCGAAACAACTTTTCAAAGCTGTGTTGACACGCTTGCATTTCATATGGGCTTATCTTTGGTTAAAATGTTCATGTTCATGAGTGTGAGGTGCAGGCTCCGAATAGAAACAAAATAAGGCATGAGATACGCATGAAAGCAAGTGTTTTGGCTTTAAATCCAACACAAGGACTGCTGGCAACATTTTTGTAATGTGTGAAGACATGAGCTAGATCAGGGTTGGGGAACCTTTGGTGGTGTTGCTGGAGTCCACCATGGTGGCTCTTGAGCCCTGACCATTGGCTATGCTTGCTGGGGCTTATGGGAGTTGGAGACCAACAATATCTGGAGGGCCACAGGTTCCCCACTCATAGGCTAGATAATGGCACAGTTAATCAATAGTTTTACACAGGTCAGAGGTCAATGGCATGATTCTGACTGAGATCCCCAAGCCATAAGATAAATAACTATACAAGCTTTAGAAGACATCTGAAGACAGCCCTGCATAGGGAAGTTAAAAAAAAAAGTTAATGTTTTATTATGTTTTTCTACATGTTCGAAGTTAATGTTATTATGGAATTAAAGGTAAAGGTAAAGGACCCCTGACAGTTAAGTTCAGTCACAGACGACTCTGGGGTTGCGGCGCTCATCTCGCTTTACAGGCCAAGGGAGCTGGCGTTTGACCGCAGACAGTTTTTCCAGGTCATGTGGCCAGCATGACTAAGCTGCTTCAGGCACAATGGAACACTGAAACCAGAGCAGCCCATGGAAACGCCATTTACCTTCCCACCGGAGCAGTACCTATTTATCTACTTGCACTTTTTGGTGTGCTTTTGAACTGCTAGGTTGGCAGGGAGCTGAGCAACGGGAGCTCACCCCGTCATAGAAATTCGAACCGGCAACCTTCTGATTGGCAAGCCCAAGAAGCTCAGTGGTTTAGACCACAGCACCACCCACGTCCCATTATGGAATAGGACATCACTATTTTCATTGGAGAAATGTTGAAGGGTATGCCAACTGGCAAGTATAAGAAATATGTTTCATGGGCATGGCCTAGTGAACAGCAAGCTTTCATGCCAGTGTCAGAGTTTTTATGTTATTTTCCACATACATGCATGTATGGTGGATGCCTAATAACGATATCCTATCAATCAGTAAAAGTGTCCCCATGCCAGGATCTGGGGAATGAGGAATTTTCTGCTTATCCATCTTTTTAAATATGTCTAATTGTGCATAAAAAGGTAAAGGGACCCTGACCATTAGGTCCAGTCGTGGCCGACTCTGGGGTTACAGCACTCATCTTGAGCCAGCGTACAGCTTCCGGGTCATGTGGCCAGCATGACTAAGCCACTTCTGGTGAACCAGAGCAGTGCATAGAAACACTGTTTACCTTCCCGCCAGAGCGGTACTTATTTATCTACTTGCACTTTGATGTGCTTTCGAACTGCTAGGTTACCAGGAGCAGGGACCGAGCAATGAGAGCTCACCCTGTTGCGGGGATTCAAACTGCCGACCTTCCGATCGGCTAGCCCATCTTATAAAATATGTCTAAATGTGCATGAGGGGTGGAAAATCAAAAGAAATTTGACTTTAAGTACAACTTTAAAGGTTATGTTGTCCAGCTGCATGAGCAGAGGAGGCCATTCAGCACAGCAAGTCATTTTGTGCACCAGTGGCTCATTTCCCCATCTCTGAGCTCAGGTTTGTTGTGTTCTTTACTTAGCAGGTCACCAAGAAGCTACAAGGTTTTCATTAACTTTAGAGATACATTCCCGCCCCTTATATTTAAATGAAAGTGTTGTGCTGTACCTCATCTTTGAGACAGAACTCCAAAGCAATAGAATACCCTTAATGTGGTATTGACCTACTGTCTGTTAGGGCTGAGAGAAAAACCTGGTCCCGCATAGAATGATAAACACATTAACAAGGAGGATGGAATTAGTATGGCTGCCATGAAACATTGTTCCTTGTTCCTCTGTTGTACTGACTGGGATTATAGGCATCCAAGTATTGTGCCATTCTGCCTTTAATTAGATTCTCTGTGGGTTTTCTATGAACTGAGATATGGCTCACAGCTCTATAATTAGGAATTCTGAGTAGAGGTTTTAACTGAAAAAATACTGATAAAAGACCCCTGATATAGGAAGGAAGAAAATGGAAAAGACTAGACAGGGCTACTCAGCTTATATGGACTTTTTCCTGCTCAGCTTGCTTATTTTATATAGGTTAGGTTGGAAACTTCTGGTAGGCCGGAAAGTAGAACGTGTTAAATAATAAAAAAAACCAGGACTGCATACAAAAATTTATTTTCCGTAGAATCAATGGAGACAGAGTCCTTTGTTTCTAGATTTATTGCATATTTTTTTTGCCCCTGAAATTCCAAAAACAAGAGCTCATTGCGCACTGATTCTGTAGTACCGCACAATGTGTCCATTTGAATACAGATGTACGTGATTCTGGCAGTGGTGTGTGTCTGTGTGTATCCGCACCTGCCTAATGACATTGTGGATAGGCATCTACCAATATCCTTCTTCATTTATTTGGGCCATGTGCAGGGAGGAAAAGGATTGGATAAGCTAACTGAGATAAGGGTTTTGAAACACTCACCAGGTAACCACACACATCTTTGTGGATGGCAGCATCTGAAGTCACTCTAGATTGAAAGAAGCATATTGAGGATGAGCATGAATGATTCCTGATTGAGAGAAAAAAAACTACATTTGTGTGTGTGCTGCAAATGGGTTAGTGTGTACACAGCCCATAAATATAATTTTGTAGTTGTTGTTTAGTCGTTTAGTC